AAAAACGAGGGGGTCCCACGCGTGGGGGAATCACGCCGTAGGAAAACACTGACCGCTGCGTATCGAAACTCATTGCGGTGGGGAGGAGCCCATGGCATCCTGGTTTGGGAAAACACACCATGTGCGAATCGACCATGAAAAGGGAAACCACTGCTTTTGTTTAGGGATGACAAAACCGCGTGCCGGGAGACGCAGTGCGGATTGAGACAGCACTGATTCCTGATGTACGACACCTGGCCGCAGGCGAGACATTTTCTCGTCCACTGCATCCACCAAACCGGCCAGGCCGGCTGCGGGGGCGTCTGTGGGAACGGATTTGCGGCCGCGGGAGCCACACATAGCGGCGGAGCCAAAACGGGTGCCGGCGGAGCCACAGGTGGCGCGGGCGCCGCCGCAGAAATTGCGGGTGTCGCCGCAGGAGCTGCAGGAGCCACAGGCGGCGCCGCGGCCCCCTGCTGCCGCACTGCGTTCAGTAGCTGGATGATGCGCGTGACTTGCTCCATCGCGTCATCCACCGGCGCCGACTTCGAGCTTGAGGCACTATTCCCCATTTCGGCAGCACCGCTCGGGCTTTGCTATAGCAGATTGAGCCGCGTCACAGCTACCGATCAAACAAAGTTTTGGACTTCAAAGTGTCCAAAGATCTACCCTGCAAAGAAGTCAAACACAATGAAGTTGTGCAAGCAGATGCATGTAGGAGCTCAAGGCTTCCTGGACTTCGCAGTGTCCAAAGATCTACCCTGCAAAGACTTCAATTATAATCAAGATTTGCAAGCAAACGCATGTAGGAGCCCAAGGCTTCCTGGACTTCAAAGTGTCCAAAGATCTACCCTGCAAAGAATTCAAACACAATCAAGATTTGCAAGCAGGCGCATGTAGGAGCTAGGGGCTTCCTGAAGTGGACATGTTAAATTTTGACTCAAGAAAACGCAAAGCAAGGCCTATGTGGACAACAGACTATTCATGGCACTGGCCTGACTTCCCCTTGACACGAACCGGGCGTCTCCTGTCTCGAGTCGAGCTCGAGTGGGTCGACGATCATTCTAGTCAACGTCCTAGCGTTGGCAGGCGAGCGGTTCGAGTCGTGGCGAGTAACAAACAAAATTTGGGCTCACATGTGCTTTTTTAAAAGTCTGTCCTGAGGACTATAGGCATGCCCGCGGTTCACCGCGAGCTCTCGAATGGTCAGGCTTTTTTTCCTTGACCTCCTCGAAGGACATGCTAGGCAAGTCTAGCTTCATGAGCTCAGCACGCACGACGGCTATGAGGTCCTGGTGGTTCGCCCGCCGCGCCTTGCTGATTCCGCACAGGAGACGCTTTTTGCCAGCGGCGGGGTCCTTGAACTGCAAGTACGACTGGTCTGACGCCAGAGTGATGTAAACCGAGCCTGCGTCCTTGGCGGCAGCCGGCTTTTTCATGCCGGCCGGGTTTTTCATTGCTGCCGGCTTTTTCATTGCAGCGGCAGGGCGCTTTTTGGGGTTGTCGATCTGCTTGGGTACCTCTACACAGACCACTGCTCGGGCCTGCTGGTGAGATTGCAGGCTAACTCAGTGGAATCGGCTGAAATGTTCGAAAAACATGGCTCCGTGGCTCTGGGGCAGGTTTGGAGATGGGGCAGACGACCGACTCTTTGTCGACCCCGGCTTCTCACTGGTCTGAGTCAGCAAATCCACCACCGAGTGCACCGACTCCCTTTCTGCCAGCTCCTGCCAGAAATCCTGCAAGCTCTCCTCGGTGGGTTCTTTCTCAGACTTCCGGGGCGGCTTTGCTGCCCTGTCTGGGAATGACTCGGTAGACGTCAGCGCCCGGCACGGGCTTCCAGAGGCAGTCTCCAAAATATCCTGGATCGCTGGCCGCTGGCGCTTCTGCGTGCTGGAGTTCCGGCGCTTTGTGTTTACAAAACTGATCATGTCCAGCAGACTTTGCACTTGAGCTTTCAAGCCACGAGGGCCCTTGTCTTCGAAAAGCTTCTTCTGGTGGAGCTGGTTGAACTTTTGAAGGGCTGCCCCAACTCCTTTGGATACCAGCGCCGCTGGATGCTGAGCAAGCCCTGCAGCTGGATCTCCACGCCTTCCTGAGTGGGCTCAACTGGAAAGAGCTGGATGGCAAGGGCCAAAGCCTCTGGGGCAATGCACTCGCTGGTCTGACATGTCCCTATATGGAAAGCCCTAAGTGGGGAACACACAGCTACAGCTTAAACCGAAATCCAGCTTGACGACTCATGGCCAGCGAATCTCCTGGGAGTCAAAAAGCAAATACCTTATGAGCCTTGCGAGCGCGCATTCTTAGGAGCCTGCGGCTTCCTGCTTTTTTTGCTTTTGCTGTTAGAGGAGCCCGAAGCATCCTACTCAATTGTACCAGCACAAGATGTGCCCGATATTGAAATGGCAAGACATACCATGCAACAAAATATGCTGTTGGAGGAGCCGGAAGCATCCTATACTCAATTGTGCCAACACAAGATACGTATGCCCGATATGGAAATGGCAGGACAAGCCGTGCGACAATTCAGCGAATATACTACAAACATGCGCAGCTGACCCCCGGCGGCTGACACGGATCCACGTCAACCCGAATCCTCGTCAAGCCTTTTTTAGACGAATCCTCGTCAACTCGAATCAGCGCTGAAAAAAACGAATCCTCGCCATCGAATCCTCGCCGGAAGGACTGTGAAGCCGTGCGTCCATGCGTGTCGGCATGCGTTTGTGATTGGTTCCCGACCCAGGGATGAACCCAAGCCCGGGATGGGGGATGCTAAGAATCTCCGAGCCGCAAGGCGAAAACATCCTAAGGGCAGGTTCTGAGGGTCACCCTGTTACTTCCCCTCGTTTAAGGTCCTAAACCTTTTTGGGGGAATGTGTTTTGTGTGCACATGTACATGCGAATGCATTTGGCTCAAGACCTTGATAATAGGACCGAGGCAAACATCCAAACACAGCTGTGAAGCAAAGCAAAAGGGTTCATATTCCGCGGTCGCATCGAGTCGTGAGACGACACAGATCATTTACCTTACAACCCCCTTTTACCACGACCACAACTATACGACTTGCTGTCGAGGGTATTGGTCACCCCACGGGAGTCGAACCTCAACTGCCCTGTCATTTGACTACGTGGTTGACCCGCCTCCTGGCAGTCTGTCTGTCTGTCTGTCTGTCTGTCTGTGTGTCTGTGTGTCTGTGTGTCTGTGTGTCTGTGTGTCTGTGTGTCTGTGTGTCTGTGTGTGTGTCTGTGTGTCTGTGTGTCTGTGTGTCTGTGTGTCTGTGTGTCTGTGTGTCTGTGTGTCTGTGTGTCTGTGTGTCTGTGTGTCTGTGTGTCTGTGTGTCTGTGTGTCTGTGTGTCTGTGTGTCTGTGTGTCTGTGTGTCTGTGTGTCTGTGTGTCTGTGTGTCTGTGTGTCTGTGTGTCTGTGTGTCTGTGTGTCTGTGTGTCTGTGTGTCTGTGTGTCTGTGTGTCTGTGTGTCTGTCTGTCTGTCTGTCTGTCTGTCTGTCTGTCTGTCTGTCTGTCTGTCTGTCTGTCTGTCTGTCTGTCTGTCTGTCTGTCTGTCTGTCTGTCTGTCTGTCTGTCTGTCTGTCTGTCTGTCTGTCTGTCTGTCTGTCTGTCTGTCTGTCTGTCTGTCTGTCTGTCTGTCTGTCTGTCTGTCTGTCTGTCTGTCTGTCTGTCTGTCTGTGTCTGTGTGTCTGTCTGTCTGTCTGTCTGTCTGTCTGTCTGTCTGTCTGTCTGTCTGTCTGTCTGTCTGTCTGTCTGTCTGTCTGTCTGTGTCTGTCTGTGTCTGTCTGTCTGTCTGTCTGTCTGTCTGTCTGTCTGTCTGTCTGTCTGTCTGTCTGTCTGTGCCTGCCTGCGTGCCTGCGTGCGTGCGTGCCTGCGTGCCTGCGTGCGTGCCTGCGTGCCTGCGTGCCTGCGTGCCTGCGTGCCTGTGTGCCTGTGTGCCTGTCTGCCTGTCTGCCTGTCTGCCTGTCTGCCTGTCTGCCTGTGTGCCTGTGTGCCTGTGTGCCTGTGTGCCTGTGTGCCTGTGTGCCTGTGTGCCTGTGTGCCTTTGTGCCTGTGTGCCTGTGTGCCTGTGTGCCTGTGTGCCTGTGTGCCTGTGTGCCTGTGCGCCTGTGCGCCTGTGTGCCTGTGTGCCTGTGTGCCTGTGTGCCTGTGTGCCTGTGTGCCTGTGTGCCTGTGTGCTCTGTGTGTGTCTCTGTGTCTCTGTGTCTCTGTGTCTCTGTGTCTCTGTGTCTCTGTGTCTCTGTGTCTCTGTGTCTCTGTGTCTCTGTGTCTCTGTGTCTCTGTGTCTCTGTGTCTCTGTGTCTCTGTGTCTCTGTGTCTCTGTGTCTCTGTGTCTCTGTGTCTCTGTGTCTCTGTGTCTCTGTGTCTCTGTGTCTCTGTGTCTCTGTGTCTCTGTGTCTCTGTGTCTCTGTGTCTCTGTGTCTCTGTGTCTCTGTGTCTCTGTGTCTCTGTGTCTCTGTGTCTCTGTGTCTCTGTGTCTCTGTGTCTCTGTCTCTCTGTCTCTGTCTCTCTGTCTCTGTGTCTCTGTGTCTCTGTGTCTCTGTGTCTCTGTCTCTCTGTCTCTCTGTCTCTCTGTCTCTCTGTCTCTCTGTCTCTCTGTCTCTCTGTCTCTCTGTCTCTCTGTCTCTCTGTCTCTCTGTCTCTCTGTCTCTCTGTCTCTCTGTCTCTCTGTCTCTCTGTCTCTCTGTCTCTCTGTCTCTCTGTCTCTCTGTGTCTGTGTCTGTGTCTGTTTGTGTTTGTTTTTGAGGGTCAGCTGAGTGTCAGTCTGAAGTGTTTTGGGTTTTGCGCGGTTTCCTGTTGTGTTTGCTCTAGAACAAGGCTGATCCTGCCCCGCAAAGAGATTAGGGTGTTTTGGGTTCCTTTCAAGCAACCACCAGCACTTCCCCCCTAAAAAGCACCAAGCAGTCATCCCCCAACAAGCACCCCCCACCTACCACCCCCAACCCCCCACCCCAACCCCCACCCCTAAAACGACCCAAACAGACGCGGCCAGCCTTGCGTCGTTTCGTCCAGGTGGCAGCTAGTGGCTCATGGGGAGCACTGGGGCGCCGCCGGTGGGACCATCAATGCGCAGATTGCCAGCGTGCTCATTCGTAAGCCGCTGCCTTAAGGTCCGAAAGGTTCCATTTGCTTAAGAGGATTGTTTCTTATTTTTGCTTAAGAATATATATTTCTTGCCAAGGGGCTTAAGCAAATGGAAGGACAGGCTCCATGTGGCTGTGATTGTCAAAATCAATGGGATCGCATTTTGGGGTTTTCGGTGCACCAACCATTTTAGAACCTATTTCAGTGGGGATTCACCGGGGAACGGGATTTTGACCCAGGGCCATGGGTCTTTCTCGCTGGGTTTTACACATTTTTACACAGCCACGTGCTCAAAGCCCGGGCAGATGAAGGTCGGCAAGGACAATCCCGGCCATAAATGGGTGCGGATATCCGCCTTGCTAATTCTTTACATGGTTCTGGGTAGACCAAATTCAGTACCGCATAGGTAGGGGCTGACCTTCCGGGTGTTGGGAATGACGCAGAAGGGGATTCCCGAATAAAAGAAACCATAGGGGATGGTTTATCGGGGTCGTTCCCTCATTTCCTGCTGAGAACCAGCAAGTAAGGTGAGTCTCCAGGCCACGTTACATGGATACCATCGTACATCGGGTGTGGTCACGCCACCTCGGATGTTCTTTGACACCAGGGCTTCGTTCAAATCTCAACAGGCCAAGGTGAGATCCCACACGTCGTTGCCCGACCAAGCTTTTCTAAAACAATCCTTATGGGGGTTAGTCCCCATATTCCCTTTCAACAGCGAAAGTGATCTTTTGACTGGCTGATTTGGCAAAATATCCCAGGATCAATGGCTATGAATCTACATCGAATCCTGGTGTCCCACTTCTACCCCTGATCGCCTAGGTTGAACATAGGGCCCAACCTGAAGCCCAAAGATGGGTTTGTCTCATTGAGAACCTAATAGAGGCTAAGTGATTACACACACACACCTCTTCTTATCCCTCTCGATGTCTTAATTGGGCTTTGAAATTCCCCCAAGGGTCTGTCCTTTCTTAGGGGTGCCTAAACAAATGGTTGGTCTGCTTTTGGTTTCTCTGTAAAACCAACCATAAAGGGGATACAAACTCGAAAAACAAAAAGGGGATACTTTCTCAAAAAAAGAGGTTTTCCTTCAAAACCAATGTAGGTACCAACTCAAAAGACCCAGAAAAGCCAACCATAATGTGACACGGGAGGCTTCACTTGGCCGGCTTCACTTCGCCGTAGGCCGCTGGATGGCACCAGCATCGTGGGCAACGAATCGGTGAAGGTGGTGAAAACTCCTTGGAAGAGTGACCGCGCAACCGGGGGGTGGGTGGGTTAAAGGGTTGGCCACTGCCTGTGAGAGGTTACCAAATCCAGATAGGTCCCCCAGTAGTGCCCTTTTACCGTTTCTTTTTTGGGGGAGGGTGCCACTACTAAAATAGACTACAGTAAAAAGACGGTACCCTTAATCGAACCTCTCTACTGGAGGACCAAATCCAGTGAACGTGTTTGATAGGGATTCTATTGCCCGACAACCAAGGGAGCCCTGAAGCTTGTCGGGGACCTGGCCAGGGTCCATGTGGCGGGCATAACCTCTGGCTCCATTTTGGGGGTGGCTGAACATCCATTTGCCACCTATTTTGATGTTCACCAGGGGTTTCCTGGGTTTTGACCCACATTGTATGCGTGAACCCGGTGAAAGACATCGGAGTTTGGGCCATGGACCCCTTTGCTTTGTTGTCCAAACGTTTTGCAGGGGACACCTTGTCTTTGGGTTCCTTTTGCTAACATCCCGAATTCATGGACTTTATTCTTTTCGGAAAGACCATTTTCAGACCGTTTCGGGCCCATCCACTCAAGTGAGTTGGGTTATTGTTCGGCTCCCTTGTTTGGCTTCTTTTTTGTGTGTTTCCCTGTTTTGGCTCCTTTGTGGTGTTTCATCTGGGCTCCGCTTGCGAGGCGTGTCCCCAAATTGCCTGACCTGGACCCCTTAAATGTCCACGAAGCAAAAGAAGAGGAAAAAACAAGGGGGAGGAAAAGAAACAAAACAAAAAAAACGCCATGTGTTTCATTTGGGCTCCATTGGGGAAAAAGGGTGTCCCCAAATTCCTGGACCCCAATGTCCAAGATGCCTTGGAGGACCTGGGCGGCACCTCGCACATCCGCCGGGTGGAGAACGGCGAGACGACTTTGCTGCTCAAGGCCACCACGCAAGTGCCTCTCGGCAGGAAGCTTGGCCTTGGTAGGACTCACTCGGCGCGTCGTCTTCTTGAAATGAGCTGGCGATGTTCCTTTGCATTTTTGCCAAGGGATGGGACTTTTTCGCTTTTTGCCCATGGATTTACAATTCTGCAAACAGTTATTCACTTTTAGGGGAGCAAAATGCGACCAAGTCTTGTTTCCAACTGCTTGGACTGGGAATGGGTCACCCGTCTTTTTCGTGGGGTGCCGACTGGGCCCGACTGGGCCCTAGGGCGTCAGCGTCTTTGGGGAGTCCGAAAAGCATTTTATTTGGCGCCCAAGACTTTTTTCTCCAGGTCTGGGGAAAAAATGGGCGGTTCGTCGGGGTTCGGGTGCTGGACCAAATCCAAATCCATGTTCTGAAGCTCTGGAAGGATGAATCCGCGGGAAAATACAAAGAAACATTGCGAATTTAAACCAGAGTTTCTTAGGTGGTCCGAAATGGATGTCGCAACCATCCACACGAAGCTTTCAACCATCCAGACAGAACCAAAAGTCTGGTTTCGCCAAAGCCTATATAGAGCTGGGGTAAAACAAGATCCAAACCCATAAAGGTCTTTTGCTTGGGATCTTTTTTTGGAATTTGGGTGACAACTTGTTTTGCTCGCTGAGGGCTTAAGTGTTGATTTCCGAATTTCCTTGTTTTTGAAGACGGGGGGGAGCTTTGGTTGCCACTTTCTGTGATACCAAGAGGATCTCGTTCAAAAGGATACAGAAACCGCAAGGATCGCCCATATTGGTTTCACAGAAGGGGATATCGAAGAGCAACTGTTCAACTTTTAGGGAACCTTAACCTAAAAACAAGTAACCTTTTGAACTTGTATTTTCAGGGGTTTTAGCTCAGCAGCAATCGGTCGGTGTTTCAGGGGTTGCAGGCATGATGTGAAGGGCGGAAGAGGGACGAAGTCGGTAGGACTCCATCTTTGCAATTCTGCACAACCAGGGCAACCGCAAATAGTTGCTTCTGAGTTGGCGAGCACGATGTGGTTTTCCCGTTTACCTGCAAGCCTTGAAAGAAGTGTCAACAGAAATATCTGGAGCTTATGGTACTGTGGATGGACGAAATCCATTTCGCACCACTTTGAAACCATGCTAATCCATACCGTTTGTTGGTGTTTACCAGGGGAATCAAATCATTCCGTGGGGTTTCTGAACGGTGGCGCCTCGATTTCTGGATGTCGCCACCATCCACCACGTATCTCAGGAGGTTTCAGTTGAGGCAAAAAGACAACACCAGCGAAGGTGCTTCCGGGGCCGATTGGATGTACATGTGCTCGAGTTGTTTTTTCTTTTTTCTCTGCCGCGTGTGTATGTGTGTGTGTGTGCGTGTGCGTGTGTGCGTGTGTGTATGTGCTTTTTGTTGAAGACAAGGCAAAAGCCGCCATCTTGAGGGGTTTTGTTTTGTGAAATAAACGTCTATTTGCGTCCAGTTTTGCGTGGGTAGTGTCGTGGAATCTGAGGTCCGCCACTGACTACAAGGGAAAGGGCGGCGTGTCCATTGCGTTGGAGTGGCCAGAAAGAGAAGTGCCTGTTCGTGAATAAGCTCGCGCAGTGTGGCTGCTTCCGTTGTGTCTGTGTGTGTGTGCGCGTTTGTTGGTTTGTTTGTTTGCTTGTTTGGTTGGGTTGTTGGTTGTTTGTTGCTTGGGTTTTTGTTGTTATTTTGTTGGTTGTTTGGTTGTTGGTTGTTTGGTTGTTTGGTTGGTTGGTTGGGCTTGGTTTGGCTTGGCTTGCTTTTGTTGTGCTTGGTTTGGGTTGGGTTGGGTTGGGTTGGGTTGGGTTGGGTTGGGTTTGTTGGTTGGTTCGTTGGTTGGTTGGTTGGTTGGTTGGTTGGTTGGTTGGTTGGTTGGTTGGTTGGTTAGGTGTTTTGTTATGTTCCCCTCGCCTGCCTATTTGTTTGTGTGTTTAATTCGTTATTGTCTTTAATATTTATTCACTTATTTGTTTAATTGATTATGTATATATTCATATGTATTCATGAGTTTGTATGTTTTTTTTGTTTTTTTTTCTTTTTTTAAATATATATATATTTGTGTGTTTATGTTGTTCCGTCTTTATGTCTTTGTTTATTTATTATGTATTTATTTTTGTGGTTCGTTCTTTGTCTATGTTGATTTCTTTCTTCTGGCCCTTCTTGCGTTTGTTCTTTTGTTCGTTAATTGGTGCGTTGCTTGGTTACTTGTTTGTTTGATTGACTGTTTGATTGTTCATTTGCTTGATTGCTTGCTTGCCTGCTTGCTTTTGTGCTTGTGTGTTTGCGTGTTAGTGTGTTTGTTGTTCTGTTTTCTTGCTTGTTTGTTTGTTTGTTTGTTTGTTTGTTTGTTTGCTTGCTGGTGGGTTGGTAGGTTGGCTGGGTGGTTGTTTGGTTGGTTGGTTGATTATGATTGCTTGTTGGTTTGTGGTTTTGTGCTTGTAATTGTTTCTAGTTTTGTTTTGTTTTGTTTTTTTTTGTGGTTGGTTGGCTGGTGATTGATTTCTGTTGTGTTTCATCTTCTTATTTGTTCTGTTTGTTTGCATGTCCGTCTTTGTGTCTTTTTTCTTTCTGTTTTTATGTTTGTAGTTGTTTTTGGTTATTAGTTCTGTCTTTCTTTCTTTCTTTCTTTCTTTCTTTCTTTCTTTCTTTCTTTCTTTCTTTCTTTCTTTCTTTCTTTCTTTCTTTATTATATGTCAAACATTTATTTATTTTGTTCTTTCTTTATTTTTTCCCTTCTTTTTGTTTTTCTTTGTTTCTTTTGTTGTGTGTCTTCATTTCTTGTTTTTTCTTTCTTCTTCCTTTCGTTCTTTCCTTTCTCCTTTGTTTATTGAAATCGCTACGCGATCCGCCGACGCCAGTGGACAGTCCCCTATTCATAAACTGGGGCTGATGTCACGTGGGACTCTAAACGCGTGAAAGAAGAACAAACAACGCCCCTCTGACGTTGGCTGCAGGGTGTGTTGAATTTGGGGTAGGGAAAAGGACTCATTTTTTTTTTGCCTAGGTCAAGTGGGGCTCTTAGCGCATGGAAGGAGAAGGCAAACAACGCCCCTCTGACGTCGGCTGCAGGGTGCCTTGAATTTGGGGTAAGGAAAAAGACTGATTTTTTTAGCCTAGGTCAAGTGGGGCTCTTAGCGCGTGGAAGGAGAACGCGAACAACGCCCGTCTGACGTCGGCTGCAGGGTGCCTCGAATTTGGGGCCAGGAACAAGACGTCTTTCTGCCTAGGTCACATCGGGCTCTGAACGTGTTGAAGGAGAAGAAACAACGCCCCTCTGACGTCGGCTGCAGAGTGCCTCGAATTTGGGGTAAGGGAAAACAAGTTTTTTTGCTTAGGTCAAATGGGGCTCTTAACGCGTGGAAGGAGAACACAAACAGCGCCCCTCTGACGTCGGCTGCAGGGTGCCTTGAATTTGGGGCATGGAAAAGACGATTTTTTGCCTAGGTCATATGGGGCTCTTAACAAGTGAGTGCCTCGAATTTGGGGTAAGGAAAAACACGTTTTTTTGCTTAGGTCAAATGGGGCTCTTAACGCGTGGAAGGAGAACACAAACAGCGCCCCTCTGACGTCGGCTGCAGGGTGCCTTGAATTTGGGGCAGGGAAAAAGACGATTTTTTGCCTAGGTCATATGGGGCTCTTAACAAGTGAAAAGAGACCAAACGACGCCCCTCTGACGTGCTGCAGGGTAATTGAAGTTTGGGGTCAGGAAAAGACGTTTTTTGGCCTACGTCACATGGGTCTCTTAACGCATGGAAGGAGAACAAGCAGCGCCCCTGTGGAAGGAGAACACAAACAGCGCCCCTCTGGCGTCGGCTGCAGAGTGCCTCGAATTTGGGGTAAGGGAAAACACGTTTTTTTGCTTAGGTCAAATGGGGCTCTTAATGCGTGGAAGGAGAACACAAACAGCGCCCCTCTGACGTCGGCTGCAGGGTGCCTTGAATTTGGGGCATGGAAAAGACGATTTTTTGCCTAGGTCATATGGGGCTCTTAACAAGTGAGTGCCTCGAATTTGGGGTAAGGAAAAACACGTTTTTTTGCTTAGGTCAAATGGGGCTCTTAACGCGTGGAAGGAGAACACAAACAGCGCCCCCACGGAGAGCCCAAACAGCGCCCCTCTGACGTCGGCTGCAGGGTGCCTTGAATTTGGGGCAGGGAAAAAGACGATTTTTGTCATATGGGGCTCTTAACAAGTGAAAAGAGACCAAACGACGCCCCTCTGACGTGCTGCAGGGTAATTGAAGTTTGGGGTCAGGAAAAGACGTTTTTTGGCCTACGTCACATGGGTCTCTTAACGCATGGAAGGAGAACAAGCAGCCCCTGTGGAAGGAGAACACAAGCAGCGCCCCTCTGGCGTCGGCTGCAGGGTGCCTCGAATTTGGGGCTGGAACAGCAACACCACTAGCATCTGCAAAAAAAGAGACAAATTCATGGCAGCAAGATAATCCTGATGATGCTGGGGATGCAGATCCTGCGCGAACCCCCCCCCCCCCCCCCCTTAGAGACCTAGGCGAAACGCAGATTTTTAGCACGAAAGAGGACAAATACAGGTTTTGGACTGCCCAAAAAATAGCAGTCCCAAAAGCCTTCGGCTTTGATAAGACTTACCTCTTAAAAACACAACTTTTCAACTTTTTGGGTAACATGGGCTATATGTGTGTAACAGATTAACTTCCCCGGGGCTTGGAGTTTTAAGGGGTAAGAAGAGATTCCAAAGGAAGACCAAGTTGCGGACTGCCATCTACACGCTCGACTGGCGTCGGCGGATTTGGTTTTCCTTTGTCCTGTTGCAGCAAGTTCCGCAAAGCGGTTAATTCACCTTGCACGCGGAGAGGAGCCAAATGGAGCAATCGATAGATAGATTCAATTGGTCCATGAGAGCTTTCTCGAAAATAGGGGAACCCAACAAGGGTTTCTGTTTGGTTTCCCTTGCCCCGAAGAGGGTGCCCTACATGCCTATACATGCCTACGAGAGGTTGGCCCCAGTGTTGGCGACAGTCTTTGAAGCATACCCCACAGCGGGCAACTCCCAAAATTGTGGTTTTCCTCGTGGTGCCCCTTGTAAACCAAGGTGCACGTGGTACACAAACAAAAACACACACACACACCCACGCACACACACACACACACCCACACCCACACCCACACCCACACCCACACGCACACGCACACGCACACGCACACGCACACGCACACGCACACACACACACAGACACACACACACACACACACATACACAGACGCGCGCGCACACACACACACACACACACTCGTGC